TTTACTCCCTCCGTGTTTTGGTTTACAGGCTCCCCTCAGCCTTAAAGGCCCTCTCAAAAGTCCTGCCCAACTTGTGAGACCCAGCTCACCCACTTCCTGTTAAGCTTCACTTTGTCCTCCCAACTAGAACTCGGTTTTTAATGTGTATCTTAGTTGTAGAAGTTACTATTTAAAGCCATATATTATGGTTATCACTTACTGTGTAAGCCTTTCCATCAGATTATGAGAGCTTAAGATCATAACTTATCTTAGTACCTTGCACATAATAAGAACTCAGAAAAAACATTAAGGCCTTAAAATCTTTAAAAAAAAAAAAAATCAAGAAACTTCTTACATTTGTTTTAAGCTGGTTACAAAAGTCTATTTTTAATTATGTTTTCTTGCAATAAAGTTTTTTTTCCTGTATTATTATTATTACTTTGTAATAGAGATGGGGTCTTGCTGTGTGTTGCCCAGGCTAGTCCATCCGCCTTGGCTTCCCAAAGTGCTGATATTACTGGCATAAATTACTGCCCCTAGCCTGCAATGAAATGGTTTTTTTTTTGTTTGCTTTGTTTTGTTTTTACCATTGACTACTACTATTTCTTTTCTTTTTTCTTTTCTCTTTTCTTTTCTTTTTTTTTGAGACAGAATCCACTCAGCCTAGGCTGGAGTGCAGTGGTGCCTTCTTAGCTCACTGCAACCTCTGCTTCCCAGGTTCAAAGGATTCTTGTGCCTCAGCCTCCTGAGAAGCTGGAACTACAGAAGTATGCCACCATGCTCAGCTAATGTTTGTATTTTTAATAAAGACAAGGTTTCACCATGTTGGCCAGGCTGGTCTCAAACTTTTGTCTTGAAGTGATCCACCTGCCTTGGCCTCCCAAAGTGCTGAGATTACAGGTGTGAGCCACTACACCTGGCTAATTTTTTTCTTTTGTAAAAATTAACAACAGAAATTTATTTTTTATAGTTCTGGAGTCTAGGAAGTTCAAGATAAGGGCACCAGTGTGGTCAGGTTCTGGGGAGGGCCCTCTTCTGAGTGCATGCTGCCTTCTCACTCTGTTCTCACATGGAGGAATGTGGAATTACTTTGCTTAATAGCATTTAATTGTTAAGTCTGTTAGATTTTGGTGGTTTGAACAGATTTTTGTTCTTTAATTTCCTCCAAATATTATTTTGATTTCTAGGTCTAGATTCAATGTAGTAATAGATCTATGATTGTTGTTACTGTTGAGAATCCATAGTGTACTAGGTGTTTGGAACAGCAAGTTAGATTTCAGTATTGTTTTAGTCTCTTAGGATTTCTTTAAGATTTCTAGACTTTAAATTAGTATCATGAGTGAACATAATTATTAGGCAAAAATGACTTTTAGGCAATGAGACTTCATCCGCTAATGAAGTTTTGAAAATAATTTCCTGGATGAAAGATGGAATTCAACGGAGATTTTTTTGTGTGTGGGGAGGAGTCGTAGTCTCACTCTGTCTCCCAGGCTGGAGTACAGTCGCATGATCTTGGCTTGATCTGCAGTGTTGACCTCCTGGGCTCAAGTGATCCTCCTACCTCTAGCCTCTCAAAGTGCCGGGATTACAGGTGTGAGCCACTGTGCCTGGCCTTGGCAGAGATTTTGTTGAGGAAATAAAATCAACTTTGAAGGTAGGAATTTGACTGGTTATGAATAGAGGTGTAAAGTCTAGAGTAGCACCTGTACTAGGAAAGGGGTTGGGGATTGAATGATTAAGTAAACAATGTGGAATACAAGCAGTGTGGAATGCTATGCAGCAGTTAAGAAGAATAAAGTGAATTGATAAGCACTGACATTTTTGGAAAGATCTTATTAAATGGAAAAAAGGCTGTAGAACAATGTATGTAATATGATCTCATTTATAAATATGTTATATTTTTCTGTGTACATTTACATACAAAAGCATAGTGTCTCAGAAGAAAAAGTGTGTAAAGATAATACATCAACTTTACAACCATTGGAAAGCAATGTGGGAATGTGGGGATTGAGGAACCATGAAGGTAGACTTTTGGTTTATATTCTCTTTGCTTCTGGAGTTTAAATTTTTTAGCAGAAGAATATATTTATGTGTTGGTTGTACAACTAAAAAATAAATTTTATTACTGGAAAGGGATTAGGTACAGCTTGCAGGGGGCTATAATCTACGAAAGCCATCTACAGTACCAAGTTTAATTCCATCATTGTTTTTTAGGTTTTAGGCCTCTGGACTATTGTCCTTTCACCAAAAAATAAGCAGGAAAGGGGGATTAAGTAGGCTTTAAAGTAATTTTTTTAAATGTTATTTTCAGCTGGCAGAGGCACAGCCATAGTTTCACTTCCAGTTTCTTTTGCAAATTTCTATTTAGGGAACTTTAAATAATTTATCTCTAAGAAGTATCGTGCCATTTCCTTTATACTATCTCATTCAGGAAGCTCTGGGGTTGGGGGGTGAAGTATAGAGCAGGAGGAAAGATGTTAGACTAAGGCTCAGCTTATATAGCTCCTGTATTTTTCTTGGGGAATGTTTTTGTTCTGCAGCTCTGTATGAGATCAATGAACAGATATATATATTCTGGGTTAATGACAAAACCTGGCATTTGGCCATACAACTAGGAAAGTTAGCTCTGTGCATTAACCATTGGTTAAATCTTACACCCAGAAGCTGTTCTGCAGTTACCAGTCACACCGTTAACTGTAGCCAACATTTTACAAATGTAAGAAAATGTGCATCTGGTGAGAGAAAACGTAGGTGTATCATCACAAGTCTATCACCATATTTTTATGGACCTTAAATATAAACTCAATTTTTATATCCCAATCTTAACAGCAGTTTGTTTTATTTTAAATAACTTTTGTTCACACATTTAGTGAAGAATATAATAAGAAAACATAAAATAAATGCCTCCTATTCATCCCTTGTTGACTGCTGTTAACATTTCATAGAGAGAAAGGACAAGGACAATGAATTGAACAAAAGAGAGGAAAAAAAGTGGGCCATAGGGAATGTACAGTAAATAGGGAGTAAAGAAGCAGATATAGAAACAGAATTATTAAGGCCAGGTGAGGTGGCTCGTGCCTGTAATCCCAGCACTTTGGGAGGTCGAGGCGGGCAGATCACCTGAGATCAGGCGTTCAAGACCAGCCTGGCTAACGTGGTGAAGTCTCATCTCTACTGAACATATAAAAATTAGCCTGGTATGGTGGTGCACACCTGTAATCCCAGCTACTCGGGAGGCTGAGGTGGGAGGATTTAAGATCTGGAAAGCTGGCCAGGAGTGATGGTTCACACCTGTAATCCCAGCACTTTGCAGGGCCGAGGTGGGCAGATCACAAGGTCAAGAGATCAAGACCATCCTGGCCAACATGGTGAAACCCCATCTCTACTAAAAATTCAAAAAATTAGCTGGGCATGGTGGTGCGTGCCTGTAGTCCAGCTACTCAAGAGGCTGAAGCAGGAGAATCACTTGAACCCTGGAGGCGGAGGTTGCAGTGAGCCAAGATTGCACCACTGTACTGCAGCCTGGTTTCAGAGCGAGACTCCATCTAAAAAAAAAAAAGAAAAGAAACAAAGAAAAAAGGTCTGGAAAGCTCTGGTGGTTTATCCCATTTTAAAGACAAGCATAATCTAAGATTGATAAGAAAGAAACATAGAATAATGAAATCTTTGCTGGTGTGATACATGCCTCTAGTTATTAGATTAGAGTTTTCTTAGGGGTCTAAGTTGAGAACAGTAGACAGTTAATTTCTTTCTCGCATCCTTCATTCCTCAGTATACAGGGAATTCCCTTCAAGATTTCTTTTGATAATTGGCTGTGTTATTTCTAAAAGAAAAATTCAGTGCAGTTTTCTCACATCTGTGCTCTGATATTAAACCTTAAAGTTGTTGGAGGATTTATCGGAACAAACCAGAATTCTCTACTTGTGTATTTTGAATTATTACCTTAATGCTATAATAACATGCTTAATAACACATGCTGTCAGTCCTATGTACTGTCAAAGGTTTAATGAATTTAGTGGTTTTTCTTCTAATATCAGGTTTGACCTAATACGACTTTCAAATTTATTATATTAATATTGTTTACTTCTTACACATGAGTGGAAGGGCAAAGTAAAGTGCTTTACTAAAGTCCAAAATCAGCTGGGCCTGGTGGCTCACACCTGTAGTCCCAACACATTGGGAGGCCGAGGTGGGCAGATTGCTTCAGCTTAGGAGTTCGAGACCAGCCTGGGCAGTATGACAAAACCCCATCTCTACAAAAAGTACAAAAATTAGCTGGGGGTGGCAGTGCATGACTGTGGTCCCAGCTACTGGGGAAGCTGAGGCAGCGGGATGATTGCATGTGCCCAGGAGGTTGAGCCTGCAATCAGCCAATATCATGCCACTGTACTCCAGCCTGGGCAAGAGTGAGTGAGACTGTCTCAAAACAAAAAAAAAATTTGAGATAATAGTATATCTTACTTAATAGCCTACTGTTATTATATTACTTCTAAAGAGATTTTAGTCAAAATTAAAGTATCAAAAGAGGTCTGAAATGGAAAGATACAGTCTATAGAGAAAGAAAGCAGCCCAAATTTTAAAATGTTAGGATGATTGATAAGGAAAAATTTAAATCTGGTGAAACTTCAAAAAAGACTCCTAAGCTGGGCACGGTAGCTCATGCCTGTAATCCCAGCACTTTGGGAGTCTGAGGCGGGGGGGATCACAAGGTCAGGAGATTGAGACCATCCTAGCCAACATGATGAAACCCCGTCTCTACTAAAAATACAAAAATGAGCTGGGCATGGTGGTGTGTGCCTGTAATCCTAGCTACGTGGGAGGCTGAGGCAGGAGAATGGCTTGAGCCAGGGAGTCGGACGGAGGTTACAGTGAGCCAAGATGACACCACAGCACTCCAACCTGGCGACAGAGCCAAGACTCCATCTCAAAAAAAAAAAAAAAACGACTCCTCCGTTGCCTCCCTTATGTTCTTGACTTGAAGCATTGTTTTCAGGGAGCTGAAAATATTTATCCTTTTCCAGATTGCAAAAGTTGAGAAACTCAAACCATTAGAGGTGGAGCTGCGACGCCTTGAAGACCTTTCAGAATCTATTGTTAATGATTTTGCCTACATGAAGAAGAGAGAAGAGGAGATGCGTGATACCAATGGTGAGGGGGAAGGTGACTCTTCTTAAGTGACCCATAAATGAGACCGTCCCCAAACTTTCAATTCTGGTGTACCCTTTTCTCAGTTTTGCCAAGACGGGTAAATGGAAGGGAAATTGCTTGCTTCACTGTTGCTGCGTCTAATGGTAAATGAGCCTTGTTAGATTTTCAAGAAAGTAGAAATTTCTACTGTGATAAATGCAGTTGACAACATCCTATTAGCCTATACCCATATCAAATAGCACCAATCTTTGTAATTTCAACATTTACATATAGGATAATGAACTTAAAAAAATTATCTGAAATCCTACTATTAGACCTAGGAACAGAGTGAAGTTAATTAATTGCCTTTACCCCCCTCCCCTGCCATTGTTCAGCCAGCTGAGGAGGCTCACTTCCTTATGTTTATAATGCTTTTTTTTTTTAGAGTCAACAAACACTCGGGTCCTATACTTCAGCATCTTTTCAATGTTCTGCCTCATTGGACTAGCCACCTGGCAGGTCTTCTACCTGCGACGCTTCTTCAAGGCCAAGAAGTTGATTGAGTAATGAATGACTGGGGCACATTCTTCTCCCACCTTTTACCTCAGCCAGCAGAACATCGCTGGAACGTGTCTGGCCTAAGGCATCCTACCAATAGCACCATCAAGGCACGTTGGAGCTTTCTTGCCAGAACTGATCTCTTTTGGTGTGGGAGGACATGGGGTACCACCTACACCCAACAAGTCAATGAGGGACTTCTTTTTAATTTGGTAGGATTTGGACTGGTTTTGCCACAATAGGTCTATTATTAGAGTCACCTATGACAAAAAAATAGGGGTTACCTAGATAATGCCAAAGTCAGCATTTGTCCTGGGTTCCCTGTGTGATCTATTTGAACCATGTTTTCTTTTCTTCTCCCACTTGCTCAGCAGCTTGGGCTTCCATTCTACTTCTTTTACCCAGATTTTGTGTGACCACGTTGACTTCATTCAGATTGCCCTCTTTGAGTTTTCTTGTGAAAAAACCCTTAACTTTCCCTTTACCCTTAGCTGAAATGTTTACTTAGCTTCTGGTGATATCTTTTGATGACTTTATGTCTCTTAAAATGGTGATGGATGTGACACCTCATAAAAGTGAGCTTTGAACTGTAGATAACTCTTAAAGAAAATGTCATTTTAGGCAATTAAAATATTTGTGCTCAACTGCTTGAACTTTTTTCGTGTATGTTTATTTAGTTCTGTGCAATTTTATCACATGTAGATTCATGTGACCACCATCACAAGAGACAAAACAGTTCTATCACACAGATCCCTTTTGCTGCCCTTTTACAGCCACAGCCATGTCCCTTATCCCCTCACCCCAACCTGTGGCTACCGCTGTTCTGGCCTCTATTTCTGTAATTTTGTCATTTCAAGAATGTTGTATGAATGGAATCATATACAATGTAATCTTACAGGGTTGATTTTTCTTCGTTCAGTTAATTCTCTTGAAACCAAGTTGCATGTATCAATAGTTTGTTCCTTTTTTTTTCTTTTAAAAATGTTTTATGTATTTAGGGGGTATAAGTGCAGATTTCTTATATGCATATATTGGATTTTGGTGAAGTCTGGGCAGTTTTTTTGATTGCTGAGTAGTATTCCATGGTATGGATGTACCACGGTTTGCTTAACCATTCACCCACTAAAGGACATAAGAGTTGTTTTCAGTTTTTTGCCCTTACTAATAAAGCTGCTGTGAACATTCATGTACAGGTTTTTATGTGAACATATATTTTCATTTCTGGGATAAATGCTCAAAAGGGTAATTGTTGGGTTGTGTGGTAAACACATTTATTTTTGTAAGAAACTACCCTACTCTTTTTCCAAACTGGCTGTATCTTTTACATACAGCCACTCATACAATTCATACAGCAATGTATGATTGATAGTTTCTTCACATCCTTACCAGCATTTGGTATTATTATCTTAACCATTCATATAGATGTGTGTAATGATGCCACATATGGTTTTAATTTACATGTTCCGATGGCTAATGATGTTGAGTATCTTTTCATGTGCTCATATGCCATCTATATATCCCCTTCAGTGAAATGTCTGTTCATGTCTTTTGTCTATTTTCTATTTAGATCATTTGTTCTTTTTACTATTGAGTTTTGAGGGTTTTTTTATATATCCTAGCTAAAACTCCCCTGTTAGATATGTGGTTGCTTGAATTTTTATCATAACTTCTACCAAGGAAAAATAAGTAAAATTTCCAACTCTTTTTGCATGGCCACTTACTTAACTCCTGTCCTTCTGTGTTCCACCTAGAGAATGAAGATACGATATATAAAATAGACATCTAGGAGGGCCATTAAGAGAATAAATACTTACAAATACATGTTATGAAAGCGAAGCCAATAATCACTGTAGGAGTATGAGGTGCCTAAACGGCCAACACTCATGTGAATAAGAGAAAATGTGGATATAAATGTTTATAAAGTTACGAAAAATGCTGTCACTTGAAATCTTTCCCACATCTCCCAGTGAAGTAGGTAGGAGTTTATCCTTTCTGTAATCTCTTTTTCACCCTGCTATTACAGGGTTTGTTTAATCACAGTGGCAAGCATTCTATGTATCTTGCTGTAAAGAAGCAGAATATTGTAATTGAACCCTGATGTATTGACCTGGATAAAGTACAAAGGTGGAAGAGGGAGTGAGTTATGTTGTTAAAATCTCAGGATATTCTGTTAAATGTTCCAGTCACTATGAACTCAAAGCCTTTTTTTTTTCCCACTTTTGACTCCTTGTACTTTATGTGGCATTAAAGTAGTTCTGTCATTAACTTGTACAACATTGCCATCTGCTGTTGAGAATTGGTAGGCACTGCTTCTGAGAACCTGGCTGCAGTTCCTCACCACAGGGGCTGCAGATGCTGAGAAAGTCTATCTGTATGTACTATTACATATACTAAGTTACAGAGGATGCATCCAAATAGAGAATAGTAAGTGGGCTAAGATCCATTCTAAAACTTTTTTTTTTGAGACAGAGTCTTGCTGCAACGCCCAGGCTCGAGTGCAACAGAATGATCTCGGCCCACTGCAACCTCCACCTCCTGTGTTTAAGCGATTCTTCTGCCTCAGCTTCCCGAGTAGCTGGGACTATAGGCGCATGCCACCACACCTGGCTAATTTTTGTACTTTTAGTAAAGACAGGGTTTGACCTCAAGTGATCCGCCCGCCTCTGGCTCCCAAAGTGCTGGGATTACAGGCATGAGCTACCACGCCCAGCCTCCATCCTTAAACTTTTAAATGTGAAGTTCTATCATGTACCATTAATCTAACAAGATTTTCTTTCATATTTCTGACGGTGCCTTTCCCCTTTTTAGGAGCAATGAAAGCTACTCAGTTATGTTCTTCAGATGTGACAAAATGTCAAAGAAAAGATAGGAAAAGAGAATATTTTATTTTGTTGATGCTTTTGTTCCCAAGTGCTACCCTAAACTTAAGCTTTGTAGGAGCTGACATTCTTTCATGTCCCCTCCCTTTACTCATGCCAAAACTATCAACTGGGACATTTTGTGCTTTTGTTTTAAAAGTCAATTGATACTATACTTTGGTTTTATCCAAAAAGTAAAAGTATTTGCCTTTGACAAAAGACTGATACAAGAGCAAATAAGCTTTAAAAACGGTGTTATCTGCTTTCCTCCGTTTTTGAGCATATTATCCAAAATGGTCTGTATAATATAGATGAGAAGGATGCAGTTTAAGTGAGCTTTGTTATACCATTGTCATGGACCCCTGTCATAAAGCCATTTTTCAATTTGTTTGGGAAAGAGGCATGTGGGATTTATACAGATTCACTTGTAAATGTTGGATTGGGGGGTTTTGTGTAAATTTTCGCAAATAAAGGCTAGCAGAAACTATTTTAGGTGTATATTCTGTTACTCTTGAGTACTTCTATGTCTGGATTGGTGATAATTCTTCCATATTTCTCCACTTTTAAATTATGGCAATTTATACCTGATGAATTCTAGAAAAAATATTGTTATTTTTCAGTTACTGCAGTTCTATAGTCTATATGAGCTAGTAAAAGATTATCATATTTTTACATATGTAATACGTGTTCATTTTATACATAATTAAGAATCCTTCATTATGCATCTTCAGACCAAATACAGCCCTATAAGCTAGGCATTTTATTCTCTTTATCGTCTCTCTTTTGGAAACTGCTACCATTAGGTTGGTGCAAAAGTAATTGCGGTTTTTGCAATTAAAATTGCTACTACATAGAATCATTCCTACAGAAAGCCATCTCCCTTGCCTTCCATTCCTAAAATACCCCTCCTAATATATGACCCCTCAGGACTCACTTTAGGCCTATCACATCCAATGCAAAGCCCCACTCTAGGAGGTAAAGGCCATTTTCTCCTCTCCTTTCACTTATAGTTGAACATTTTTCAAAGCTTTCCAAGAGCCAATATGAAGTGCTTTGCACACTCACTGACTGGCCTCTTATTTATCCTATCTGCATTCTCCCTCAAACTTTATTGTGAATCCATAGTCTGTAAAGTAGTGGTTTCCATTATTTGGGTATAAATGCTTTAATATAAAAAATGTTGGCAGGGCGCAGTGGCTCACACCTGTAATCCCAGCACTTTGAGAGGCCAAGGTGGGTGGATCATGAGGTCAGGAGATTGAGACCATCCTCACTAACAAGGTGAAACTTCGTCTCTACTAAAAATACAAAAGATAAGCTGGGTATGGTGCTGCACTCCTGTAGTCCCAGCTACTTAGGAGGCTGAAGCAGGAGAATCAGCTGAACCTGGGAGGTAGAAGGTGCAATGAGCTGAGATCACACCATTGCACTCCAGGCTGGGCAACAAGAGAGAAACAAAAAAGTTTTCAGGCCGGGCACAGTGGCTCATGCCTATAGTCCCAGCACTTTGGGAGCCAAGGTGGGTGGATCACGAGGTCAGGAGTTTGAGACCAGCATGGCCAACATGGTGAAACCCTGTCTCTACTAAAAATACAAAAAATGAGCTGGGTATGGTGGCGAGTGCCTGTAATCCCAGCTACTCAGGAGGCTGAGACAGGACAATCACTTGAACCCGGAAGCCAGCAGTTGCAGTGAGCCAAGATCATGTCATTGCACTCCAAGCTGAGCGACATAGCAAGACTCTGTCTCAAAAAAGAAAAAAAAAATATTTTCTTTGAGACCAGCCTGGCTAAGATGACGAAACCCTGTCTCTACTAAAAATACACCCAGGAGGTGAAGGTTGCAGTGAGCCGAGATCATGCCACTGCACTGCAGCCTGATGACAGAGCAAGACTGTGTCTCCAAAAAAAAGTTTTCTTTCTCACTGATGCTTACTTTTATAGAGTATAAATAATGAGTTCAGCAAAACTTATAAATTAATAGTTTCAGTAGTGTCATTAAACTTGTTTAAGTGGTAATATATGCTTTTTGAGTCTTGCTCTGTCACCCAGGCTGGAGTGCAGTGGCGCAATCTCCACCTCCCAGGTTCAAGTGATTCTCCTGCCTCAGCCTCCTGAGTAGCTGGGAATACAGGCATGCACCACCATGCCCCACTAGTTTTTTGTTTTTGTTTTTGTTTTTGTTTTGTTTTGTTTTTTTTTGCATTTTTAGTAGAGACAGGGTTTTACCATGTTGGCTGGGCTGGTTTTGAACTGACATCAAGTGATCCACCTCAGCCTCCCAAAGTGCTAGGATTACAGGCATGAGCCACCTCACCTAGCCCAATACATGCTTTATAAATCAATTAATTCAGTTTGTTGCAGTGATGTCTCATATAATGTGAGCTGCATGTATAATTTTAAATTTTCTAGTATCACATTAAAGACGTACAAAACAGGTAAAATTGGCCAGGCACAGTGACTCACACCTGTAATCCCAGCACTTTGGCAGGCCAAGGTGGACAGATGACCTGAGGTTGGGAGTTCAAGACCAGCCTGACCAACATGGAGGAAACCCCATCTCTACTAAAAAAATACAAAATTAGCTGGGTGTGGTGGCGCATGCCTGTAATCCCAGCTACTCGGGAGGCTGAGGCAGGAGAATCACATTAACCTGGGAGGCGGAAGTCGCAGTGAGCCGAGATCATGCCATTGCACTCCTGCCTGGACAAGAGCAAAACTGGGTCTCCAAAAAAAATAAACTACAGGTAAAATTATTTGTTTATTTTTTGAGACAAAGTCTAGTTCTGTCGCCAG